GGGGGGGTGGCTTAGGAAAGGGATCCGGAAGTCCAAATTAAACCCACAAGGGAGGGGGTTTCCGGAAACCCCTTGGGGGTGGTTTTGTGTTTGTTGTTGTTTGGGCATTAAAAACATTTGGGATTTCGGTTCGGTACTTTTAGGTACGGGGCCCAGTTCCACTTTTGGGGGTTGGGATAACAAACGGGGCGGGGAAAGGATTAAAGGATTCTATCAGGGGGAGGAGGAGCCGGAGAAACTGGTTCAGGAGGGCAGTACAAGTTCCAGTTTGGCATTGGAAGAGGGGGAGTTCCACATGGGGAAGGCGCTTTCAGAGCGGGGGCGGGCCAGGGCCATCAAGAGGGACACGGGGGGGGGGGGGCTCCGGTGGATCAGGGAGAGCCTCCTTCTTGAAGCCATGTTCGACGTGCGGGGGTCTGACGGGAATGCTGTTTATTTCGAGGAGGATGCTGTGTTGGAGAAAGGAAGGTGAGGCGGTTTAGGGGGGGGGGGGGGGGAGGGGCCGGTGAAAATCGGGAGCTCGTGTAGGGAGGCGATGCGGGGTCGGTTTTTTTTTTGTGTTGAGCGATGGACGGAGACTGAGGAAGGCGACAGGCTTGTAGAGGTACAGGACACCAAAGAAGTGGAGCTGGCGGATGGATCACATCCGCAGACGCAAGGCGTTTCGAAGAGAGCGAAAGAGGGCATGGGTGACCGCAGGGGGGTCCATAGAACCAGAATAATGACGCATTTTTTACGGCAATTGCAAAGATTCTTGTCGAGTCTGTATTCTCTGCTCCCGGCCAGACGCCACGCTACAGATGACTTTTGTCGTTTCTTCTCTACACGGCGGTGGGTTCGACCTGAAACCATAATTCGATACTGATATGTTCTTCCTTCTTGCGAAAGAAAAGTTCACACAACACACTCCAAACCCCCTCGAACCCCCGTCGTCCCCTATGCTGATTCGCTCTATCTTGCCTTGTGTTATGTTCGTCGTATCTTGGTATTTATAGTGTGCTTCTCCTCAAGGGGCAGGACACGCTCGAGAGCTACCTGGAGCAACAAGCAGGAGGCAAGGATGGGGGAGACAAGAAGACCCCCAAGGCTGACGGGGGTGGCGGTGGTGGGACCAAGGAAGACGGTTGGTTCGACGAGGTCGAGGACGTCGCGATGTCGTAGCTTGGCCCTCTCCGTCGATCACGAGTGACTCTGTCGCCACTTCTTTCCCTGGTAACCGTTATCTGCACTGATTCTAAACCGATTTATCCCTCTGCATTAAACCCGAGTGATGTTCTCCCGGGGGCATGTGACGGAGGGACGATGGCGATGATTTCGTCTACGTTGAGGTAAAAATTCCAAGCGTACAACTGGTGGGGAGAGCCGTGGAACCAACTCTAATACGATCTCAAGCAGTGGAGTATTTCGTACTTGTACTAGGTTACCGTGGGGTTGGTTGAGGTTAGGGTCCTTTCTAAACGGAATGGTTTCTGTACACGTCACTGCGTTTGGATCGGTTACCGTTGTAGGACAAGGTAGTCGAGCACCATGGCTATGCGCGCACGCTGCCAGCCCTCCGAAAACAGAACAACCAGCGCTTCATGTGTTGGATTTCGTCGGGAACGGATAGAAGCATACGGCGGCCGCAGCTGATTTGATTGTCATTTCGACCGCGGCCCGTTGGTGAGAGAAGTCTCAACGGTAAACTATGCCCCAGGAAGATTTGTTGAAGCTTGGAGCTTGGGGCGGTTATGATGCCGAACGTGCACATTCTAGTTGACTATGAGCCACCACGTACGATTGTAGCTTGGAGATTGCGCGGGGTTGGCCACCTACTAGGGCGTCATGGGGATTCGTGATTCGCACAGAAGGTTGATCGCTGTTCACGCACGTGAAGTGTTGGATAACACATTGGTCTCGAGCGTAGCTAGACGAATTGCAGCGTGGGTGAGGAGAGAGGAACGCCTTTCTCTTGTGGGTGTCGAGTAAGCAGGTTGTTGCAACTTGTTGGCCGGGGGGGAGGGTCGTGTGTGTCTTCCGGAACGGCATATGTCAAGGCTCGCGGCCCTTCCCTTGGTGTTTTCAATTTATTCCGCGCAAGAAGTCGCCTCCTCGTGCCATGCACCGATCGACCGGGCCTCAATTCCGTTCGACTCTGCATCCGTGGAGACAAAAACAAGCAGGCGACGCTTGCCTTGTGTCTTGTACCGATCGACTGCATTCGATTCAAACGTGTTTTCGTTCGACTGGTAAAGCCCGTGTAGAAAAAAAAAAAGTGGCGTTTTGCTCTTGGAGCTCGTCTTGCTGCCGTCGACGGCTCTGCTTGTATGCGCGCCGAACAAGTGATGCGTCAGCCCGTAGGTGGCGGTGTGTACCGTAGGCGACGTAGTTGCCGGGATAACGTGCGGGATTGGTATGGATGGTGTTATCATGGAGTGCATTTGTCCCTTAGCGTGCATAAGGGTGGGAGCGTGTTTTTGCCATGAGGTGGGGCTATTGCGATGACAGCAGTGTTGTATGGACACTTTTGGGCCTGCCCGCCACCGCCCCTGGCAAAGGGAATTGCTGGAAGGACATGCGAACCACCAGGTTGGTGGGGGGTGACGCCGAACGGCAGAGCGTAGGCAGAGGCCGGGGGAGAGATAGAGCATACCGCGCTCTGTGTTTTGTGAACGAACCTTTTCACGATGGGTTTTAGAATATTATCCACGGGGCATGTTTGAGGAGGGGGAGGATTCGACTGTTGTGACAATTTTTATCCTTTGCGCGTGCTACGTTGCAAGGGACAGTGGTAAAAACGAAGGTCGATGGTGTATGATAACGGGCTACCAACATTGGGTTAGGTTGCGCAAGGCCACGGCGGTTGGATGCGCGGCCTGATCTCTTGGTGTTTGGTTTTGTTTGGGTCAAGGGGTAGAGGGATACAATGAACGGCCGCGCAGGTTTTGAAGCTGTAGAGGCTGAGGTCGAAAGGATGGCTAAGGATGCCCTTGCCGTGTAGATATAGGATATAGACAACAATGATTCAAAACTTGCCGATTTCTTGGTCGGTACGGGTTGTTGCCGTGCTATGCTAGACAAGAGACGTTCCTGTACATGCCACGCGTTTCCCGGCGGTCCGCGCTGTTTCCTACACCCCTTTTGCAGTCAATCATTTAGTCAACCTTTGTGTTCGCGGACTCCAGAGTTGGGAAGAATGACGGAGTGAAGCCAATAGCAAGACGCTCTCCCCGCCAAGGCAGTCGTTGCGGTGGAGTATTAACATTGACGACCATTTTTTTTCTCCAATCTTGAACATCTGCGACAGCCACACTTCGCAAGAGCCGCGATAGCAGGCAACCCTTGATCGATGGTATCAAAAAAGCCCTTTTTGGGTTGGGTTTTCATGCGTCTCGTGTGTGAGACCGCCTGCTGGCACAACACTTCGACGGAAGGTCGCTCTCTTCTAAATCGTCCTAGGCGCTAAAAGCCGCGATGAGGACGCATGCATGCTGCCGCTTGGAGCTCTGGGACTCAACCCCCGCAGAGCAGGGCTTTCCAAGACGCATCGAAAGAGGGGACATTTATATTGTTTTTAAGACTCGGACGGCGGCGGTATGGAGTCATCATCTGGCTCGAAGTCGTCCTCTCCCTCCTGGTATGGGTCGTCGACGGGCAGGTCCTGAAATACGTGTCAGGGTGTGCATGAGGTGGTTCAAATCCCAGGGTGAAAAACTCAAAAAAGTATGCAGAGACGCACAGGCTGTTACACGTGTCTATATGCGTATGCATGGTCAAGTATCCGCTGCCACTTTGGTATATTGCTGAACGCGTGGTGAGCCATCGAAAAGTCACATAAGGTGTAGCTACAGAATCAGACCTGTCTGGACCATATCCATACGGAATAATTAAGTTCACAAGTAACGCGACCGACATCTCGATGAGACAGGGCTGGAAACTTGGTTCTTGAAGAAGGTTGCTCAAGGCTCAAGAGGGCAGCCTCGACCCCTACGTACCCACGCCCATCCAATCAGACACCCACCTTTATCGTGTCCGCCCAGTCAGGTAACTCTTGGCTCTGTATCGGGAACTCCATATCCTCAGAATTTGAGGATCCCCTTCTCCTTCCCCCCCCCCCGCCTTCCTTAGCTACCCCATCCAAACCGTCCCCGCACCCCGTGCCCTCAGGAGCCCCCCTAGAGTTCCCCCTCCGACCTTCAGGCCGCGCGCCTACCGCCGCCACCGCCGCGGCAGCTGTTCCACCGCTATTTTGGGCATCTTCTCCACTATTATTCCCGTCTTCCGCACGGCCACCAGTGCCTCGTACCCCGAGCCAAGTCTGTCTTCCCTCCTCAATGCCATCCGAATCCTTTGCGTCGACACGAGACTGTCGATCCGACACCGACGCTGGGCGGACGGCGCTGCCTGCCTCGCAAGACGGCGCCAAAAAGACCACGCTGTTCCTGCCGCTGCCGCTGCTGCTGCTGCTGGCGGGGGTGTCACTCAACTTTTCAGGCCGGAGAAGAGAAACATCAGCAACCGCGGCGGGAGCAACGGGGCTGTCAAGAGGTCGCTGTTCTCCTCGCTTCCTCCGCGCGGATCGGAGACTTTGTTCGCCGCGAGCGGTCGATGTAGTCCTGTTGCCGCGGCTGCTACGGTGTGACGTGATGCTGCTGTGGTTTCCGACGAACACGTGGTGACCCGTGGGGCCATGCTCGTCTTTTTTCGATCCGTTACTACCGTCAGCGTTACGGGCAGCGACAGCTCCGTGTTTGGCGGTGGGGTGGTCGATGAGAGACATTCCGGCGGAGCCAAGGAGCTGCGAGGTTGCCTGCCATCCCTCCTGCGGCAGCAGTTATTTAAGTTGCGGTAGCGGCAGCATACGTCGGGGGGGGGGGGGGGGGAGGGGGACGGATACACGGGTGAAACTCATGACTCGACAAGGATCCGATGTCCAAGGTAAAGAGGGCGGACGTGTAGCTTGTGTTCTCGGTAGCGACGCCGATGAAGTGGGTGCAGAATAACGGTATGGACAGCAGTGGAAGCGGAAACAACACCATCACCGACTCGCGCTCCTCCTGGCAGGTGCCTGGGCAGGGGAGGTGCAACTTGAGAATCACGAGGAGAGGAAAGTATTATTAACAGTGTTTCGAACCCGCGTTCTCCCGCTCACCTCCACCAGCGCTTTCGGGAACGGCTTGGACTGGTTTCTGGCCATCCTCGTGACGATCTTGCCGCCCTCGATATGCTTGGAGTGCTGGTACTTGTCCTTCGCAGGTACTCGGTAGGGAGACACGGCCACCTGTGCGTGTCGTGTGCGACACGAAACGTGCACCACCCCCCCCGCCGGACCGAAGAAACATGTGTGAAAGAACAACAACTCGTGGAGGAATAGACCTATCGGCGCAAATATTAATTCCGCGTAACGGCGTGCAACGTCATTCTTCACGTGTGGCGTACCTTTTGCTTCTGATACACTTTTTTCTGTTTTCTGTTACTTATAGGACACCGCGTGCTTGTTCTCACGATGCCGCACGTTATGCGCGGATACCCACTCACTCTTGTCACGGCAAGGTCGAGCGCCTTACGCTCCGCCTTCGTCGCCGGCCTACGACGCTTTCCCCTGATGCTCCCGACGTCCTTGCTCATCCCCAACCTGCTTCCGCCGCCCTCCCCCGAGGTCTGCACTACCGAGGTGAGAGAACCGCCGTCCGAACGGCACCCCAAGCGGGGGAGAAGCCTATCGCAGGCAGCGGCAGGAATGAAGAGCCCGTGGGACCGTAAGATGGGGGAAGGGAGCGGGGGGGTGGTACTAGCTCGTCGCTTGCCGGGGGTGGGTGCTTGACAGCTCACCGTGCGCAACAGAGTAAAAGGGGCAGGAGGTTGCGAGAGGGCAGGAGACACCTGTGCTTGGTCTTTTGTCATGCACTCTTGGACTTCCTGCTTCAGAACCGACCAACCCTTGAATGTGCACCACCTCGTTGACAACATATCTAATCATTGACCGCAACATCCTATCTTCTTTGCCTCTCCCCTCTCCGCCCCCCCCGGTGTTTGCCATCGGGGTTGGGTTTTCGTCGCTTGGCAACGACGTTGTAAAACAAGCCGCCCCCCCCGGTGTTTGCCATCGGGGTTGGGGTTTTCGTCGCTTGGCAACGACGTTGTAAAACAAGCCCCCCACTCAGTGTTTGCCATCGGGATTGGGTTTTCGTCGCTTGGCAACGACGTTGTAAAACAGGCCAATTCACTTCGTGAACTCGGCAACCAGGTTACCGTTTTTTTTTTACCTCGGTTTTTTTTTTGGCGGTAACCATAATGGTGTGGTCGAGTAGATCATGTTGTGCGGGGTCGAGAAACCTCACTCCGCGCAAAGGGGGATGATCGCACCACGTTGTGTTAAAATGGTCAAGCTTCCTCGAGGCAGTTACACAGTGCTTACAACTGTCTCTGGAAGTGAAAGCACCAGAAAATAAATTAAGTCATACGTAGCTGTCATCCGTACGCAAGGAAGTAAGCACAAGATGCCGAACACCCTTATCAGGATGCAGCTCACCCTTCATGCGACTCGCCAAATACCTCACGGCGCTTCGCGCTTGGTGATGTGAGAGCCTGGTCCGGTGAGAACCCGGCGTGCTCCGTCCCGGCTTTGTAGGGATGCGAGGTCCATGGTCAAACGACTACGGCATGCACGACTATGAGTACACCCCCCCCCCCCCCCCCCTCTCCCGTGAAGGCTGTATCTTGATGAAACGTTTTTCCCCCTCTGTTTTCTGATCTCCCGTATTGGTCACCGTCGTCAGGACCAACCTCTTTCCCTCAACCGTACCGTACCGGGGCGATGGGTGAACGGGTCGGGGAGCGGCAGGGCTTAACCAACTTACCTGCTGGGCGTAGCACACCGTGCGCCCCGGAGCTTCTTGTTGATGGCCTCTAGGGTGTCAAGCCCTCCCGACGTCATCTCTCGGCGTTTCTGTGCAAGGTGTACGATAAGTAAAGAGGGGGTCATTGCATTTGTCTGTGCGGTGTGGCCGTCGCTGGTCACTTTGTCGTTACCCCAGAGTACCAAACACCACGTGAACTGTCTTCTAGAATTGCCTGCCTGTGGATTCGGTGTCGTCTCATAATAGTGATACGAGAATCGTGGAGGAAAGCGAGACATCCAGCGACTTGAATACTACGGAGTTTTTAGCACGACCCCTTCGTTAACGACGTTTGTATAAGGCAAACACGCTGGCATTGCAACTTTGAGAGAAGTGGTCAGACTCTCACACCACCGGCAGCACCTCTGACGCCGGATTCTAAGGAAAAGCACTGCCGCCGCCTTACCCCTAACGACATTCCATCATGTGTGCAGCACTGCAGTTCATACCTCTCTTTTCCTAGCGCGGAGCACCTTGTCCTTCTCTCGCGCCCACGCTGCGAAGGCTTCGTCCTGCTCCTTCTTCCGCCGCCGGTCCTCATCCTCTTGCCGTTCTCTCTGCTCTCGTCTCCGTCTTGCAGCGGCCTCGCCCGCTGCGCTCTCCCCCCCTATGCCAGCGTCAACACCTCCTCTCTGCCTGTCGTTGTCGTCACCGTTGACAGCGGCGCCGGATTTGCTGCGGCGCGCTTTCCGGGAAACCCACTCTTCCCAGTGCTTCTGGCCGGCCGCTCTGCGCCGCTTTTCCTGACGACGCCGTGAGGTGCGGAGCGGTGTGGTGTGGCGTGGCGTAAGACTACTGTCGCGATAATTAGCTGGTAGAGCGAAGCTGGTCCCGAGGCTTGACGCGGCATGCATGCAATGCTTCGACAGGGGGCGCCAATCTAACGGTTGTAGACTAGAGACACACAGTACTAAGTCTCTAACGTCTGGGTGTCAAGGACGGGTGTTGGAAAATCTCAAAGCGACCGTACGTTGACACACCAGCTACGAGCATGGATGCATGCCTGCCCCACTCTGTGTTCTACTGGCCGACACTGTTCCTCTCAACCATACCTCAAACAATTAAAACGAATAAAAACGCAACACCAATCACTCACTATTTTCAGTACCCGCAACCGACTTCGGCATCCCACAACAACCAACCTAGAGCGCATTATTACATCCAGTTCAGCTGCTTGTTCGAATTGCCATTGGTCTGGGTGGCAACCTCGTAAGCTATCTAGCCCTTCTTACGCTAAAAAAGTGAACGGATGCAACACACAGGAACTCTTCTATTTGACCCGCATCGGATAATTTTCAGATATCCAGGTCGGGCGGTAGGGTAGAAACTTCGAGCGAGGGATACAAAGAGAGAGAGGAGCGTTTCACCAAAAGAGGCGTTTGCACCCCAAACACGAGAGGAATTGTCACCCCCCAACACACCTCGCGGGGCACCCTTGCGTACCCCAACCAACCTGCAGCTTGTTTTGAAGCTCGACTTCCATCTTTTGCCGCTCTGTCATCTGCTCCGCGAGCGTCGGCACGCGTCCGGTCGGCGCGCGATCGAAGGTTCGTGAGTTGCGCAGCCACTCCATCACCTTGTCCACGCACGCCTTTAGTGATAGGATTGGTTCATCGGTGTTGTCGGGCGTGCGAGGGGGGTACCGAAAGGTGGGAAAATGAATCGGCGCCTTTGTGCGTCAGAACGGCGGGGTAAAGATCACAAGCAGCCAACAACAAACTGTCCCGCATGGGAAGCGCGACAATAAAGGTGGTAAACCCCGCAGGCCCTCTGACGGCTAACCGTACCTGTGCGTGTTGGGTATCCGTAGACGGTTGCTGGATCCCAGGATGTCGCATTGCCGCGATGGAGTGCTGTCCCTCTCCGTCAGCCTTAAACTGTCGAAACGCCTCCTCAAAAGCGGCCGATACGTCGGAAACACGCACGGTAGCCTGATGCTCTCCCTTGTCATCGTCATCGCCATCGTTGCTGCCGCCGCTACGGGTGTTGTTGTCGTTGTCGATTCTGGAGGACGAGGAAGGGGGGGCGTTGTTGACGACGATGTCGTCGAAAGTCCGCCGCGCGAGGCGACCGATCTCCGCGGCGTCGATGACCGTCATGGGACCGGTCCCGAGGGACGGCATGTCGAGGGTCAGCTCGCGGAACTCTCTCACCGCCTCGTCGATCTCGGCAACATCGATGGTGCCGCTCGAGTCCTTGTCGAGGAATCGCACCACGCTTCGCACCTGTCCCCACACAAGCAAAAACCGCGAGAACAGGAGGCAAACAAAAAAAAATTGCTTTCAACAAAAACCCTTAAAAAAAATGCAGAGTACGCGTCTTGAATCGTATGCGCGACTCGTGCTGTAGTTGCGCACCTTGCCGTGAATCAAATGAACACCAAAAGCACGGGCATCCAGAAAGAGTGGCCGATGCATGCCGCGAGGGATGATGCTGTCACCCACGTTAAGCCACGTTAAGCGACAGCCTTCTGAACCCCTAAGTCTTGCAGCCCCCCACCTCTCGACGAGTTAGTTCCAATCCGTCGACGAGACTGAGTGCCATCTCCAGTTCCGCCGTGGTGAGGCTGAGATGGCCTCGCAGGGAGAAGGAGCGGAACATATCCACCACCTGTTGGCACAGATCAACACCGCATGTCCACAGCTACGAGTGGGTGACGGGCGTGGTGAAGTATCACATGTACCTTGAAAGTTACTGTATGTACGATCAACAAGGTAAAACCGTCTCCCACAGACGCTTGTTGGGAATATGGGACTCTTTCTAAAAGTCCCCTCCACAAAAGATGCACGTGCTTTAGAGTACCCCAGGCAAGGTTGGAGAAGAACAGGCGGGGTAGCGGTAGAGTACTACCCCTCTCTGCACCGTTGTAGACCATTAAACGTGCATGAGGTCACCGTACTCCCGTGGGAAGACATCAACGTGTTGAGCCCCGTTGCTGTTTCTTGCTGCGTACGAACGCATGAAACTTCCCTCGTGATATCGTCAAACCGACAACGATTTCAAGCATTGAACACATGAGTACGACATCTCCATACCTCCGCAGATTCTTCGCTTGGTCTCTGTGCATCTCAAAAGCAGCGGGACGAACTGAACATGCTGGGATAGTGCCTACACTCTCTCCGCAAGAAAAACAAAGCGAAGAATACATCTGGTTTGTCTACCAACGGAATACATGGATGAGTGACGGGGAAGGCACCTTGTGTCTCGTCTGCACGAGGTGCTCGTGTATCCTTCGGAGCACTTTCGCCGCACCGGAAGCCTGGGCGGCCGCTATCCTTGCACGAAGCTTCAATGCTCGACGCCTGTTTTGTTTGTTAGACTTGTTTCAATGGAAAAAAAAAATCACCTCGGTCGTTGGTAGCGGGTTATTTGGTTCGACGTTCTCTGAATCTGAGTGACGTTATGTCTCCTCCCATGCACTGGGGCCGGTCAGCAAAGGGAAGATGTTATGGCCGTGCTAGTCGTGGACGTTCTCCCACACTATTTGACAAACGTGAACGGTTCCATGGAAGTAGATACAACTTCCATGGAAGCTGATACCACTTCCATGGAAGCTACACGTTTGTACTTCCATGGAAGCGCCAAACGACACTTCCATGGAAGCGGCATTCACTTCCATGGAACTGAAGATATGAAAGGTAACTTCCACGGAAGTCCCATGGAAATTCCATGGAAGTGGAATAGCTTCCATGGAAGTCGAACCTTAGGCTTCCATGCAAGCTATTCAAAACAGGTTTAGGGCAGCTTCCATGGACATAATCAGCCTCGGGCTAGCTGCCATGGTCTTTTCGGGGTCACAGTTGGGGTTTGTGAGGGTTAGGGTTAGGGTAGGGAGCTGGAATTACCACATGTTCAGACGCTTCCGTGGAAGTTGCTTTCATGGAAGTTCCAGTTCTTGCACGGAAGTCGGTTTCGACCTCTGTCACCCACTTCTATGGAAGTTGCTTTCATGGAAGTTTTCGTGCTTCCACGGAAGTAGGAGAGACTCTGTCGAGCGACGAGCTTCCATGGAAGCCGAAATGCGACTTCCATGGGGTTGATATTGGTGCTTCCATGGAAGCGGAGTAACTTCCATGGGAGTTGGTTCCAGCTTCCATGGAAGCACCATGGAAGCTGGAACCCGAAACAGACGAACAGATTGCATGGAAATCAATTTAACTCCATGGAAACCCTAAAAGTTTCCACCCGGACGCCATCTCACTTCCATGGAAGTCAATTTCGACTTCCATGGAAGTGGTTCACTGCTTCCATGGAAGTGGTTACCCCTTCCATGGAAGTGGTTACCCATGGAAGTCACCGCCACTCCCATGGAAGTCAATTTCGACTTCCATGGAAGCTTATTCCATTTGTCAAATAGTGTAGGTTACCCATCGTGGACGGCGAGCAGAAAAAAAAACATCTAGAGTGTTACGGAAGTGCGTGATGTTCGCTGGTTTGAGTATTCTAAGTCGCCACGTCCGCCGGATCGCCTTCGCGAGAAATTAAGTTATGAGGAAATAGAACAGGCAGGGGCATGCAGACTCTATCCGTAACCCTAACCCTGACCCTAACCCTAACCCTATCCCACATTTCCCGATTGCATGTTTATCCAACATGTTTAGTTAAACGAAGAACCCTGCGAAGGCTACTGGGACCGCCTCGGCCGCCACCAGTGACATCCGTTCAACAATTCGAACAACAAATAGTCTTATCTAGAGTGTTTTGTCAAGATACGTCCATTTTTTTCTCGACTCTTTCGTTGCCCCTACTAAATACTGCTATTGTGAGGACTGCCGAAAACAACCACAGCAGAAACAGCGACGACGAGATGTTCCTCCAACCGCGAGTTTTTCGTGTTGCGCACAAAAGGTACAGACGGTTAGGCATAGCTTAACGCCCCTCACTCACAATTCTTTGTCCTGGTTTTCTCGAATGGCCGCTGACCGCCTCCTGTTCCTACAAACCTCCCGCATCTGCTCCATCGACGCCGACTGCCCTAGGTGTCCCTCCGCGATCATCGCGAGGCCTTCCCTCAGCTCCTCCCTGTCATGATTGATTTCGTCGGTAAAGGTACAACATGGTTCTTGATCAAAAGAGTGGTCAGCGTGTGACATAGGTCCAAAAGGGTATTCAACGGGTGGTGGGCACGATGCTTTTTGCACGGTCCCCGAGAGGCTGGAGGTTTTCGATCTGTTTCTTGTTTCGCAGGCTGAAGTAGAATCCATACTTGACTCCTCTGCAACACCAAGCTAGTCGCTTGTCGCCCTTGATCCAGGCAACGGGGTCCCACCGCTAATGCGGACGACTTTCTCATTTTGGCTATTTCGTACCCCGGGCTAGCGTTCCCGCCGCTAAGTAGACACGTGGTGGTAGCGCCTACTTCTAGCAAGTGTATGTTGCACTTTATGTGCTTCTGCTATCGGCGTTCTCGAGCCAGTTCTGAGTATCCCCCCTGGCAACTAGCTGTGGTTGAAACCGTGGCCGAACGTGCTTGCCACCTGAGCTACGCCTCACCTCGATATCAAGCCATCCTTGGAGGTGTCCATGGTATTGAAGAGCTCGATCACCCTGATCGACTTCGAGGCCACACTTGCTCGAATGAGGTCGAGAATCACGGACGCGCCGGATTTCTCGGCTTCGAGCACCCGCTTGGCCGCCTAAATATAAATAAATTTCAGGAGTGAGAACACCCGCGACTGTAGCGTTGGATTGTCCAAGGAAAGAAAGCACTGATGATGACTCCGACAACAACAACAGAGGCAGTTTGAGGATATGTTGCATTAGCCACACATGTGAACGCTGTACACGAAAAGATACTGCCAATCTTAATTGTGGCACAACATAACAATTTATGAACGAAAGGGAACTAAACCGCAACACCACCAGCCCGGCTGTCGACTATTGGGTGCCCTACACACCCCCCTGCCGCTCCATCCAAATACCTCAGCAGACACCCCTTCGGCCGCCTTCCGTTCCTGCTCCTCCTTCACTGCCGACAGTTCGTCCGCTTTGAGCTTCGCCCTCTCCGCCCCGGTCAGTCCCCCCGTCGTAAGCGACACCAGGACTGCTTTCAGGGCCGCCGGCGCTACACACGAGTCGTCCCCTCTCTGGGCCGCCCCGGCCGCGGCTCCCGCCCCAGGTGGTGGCACTGGCGCGTGATCCGGGCGTTTCGGCATTGGAGACGTGTTATGAGGAGGATAAATTCGTCGCTGTGAGCGAGTTCATTTGTCTCGGTTGTGTGGATATTGTGTCCACTCGGCCGATGATTTGCCAGTTCGTGTTTGTTCTCTCGAAATGTGTGTGCGCGTTTTCTGAGGACACATTATGTTGGAAATGATGGTACCAAGTATTAGATAGTGACTTCGTGTTGGAGGGAAATATTTTCTCCGCAATTGGAAGTCTGTTTTTCGGCAAGACTTGTTCGTACATTTTCGTTCGATGTGTTGAGAATGTACACAGGATTGTGAACAGAAGAACTCATAGCGATGGTGGTACTTTGTGCTTGTTTATGTTTGGTGTTCGTTTGTTTGCACTTTTTTCTTGCTGCGGGGATTATTTGGTGGCCAGGTCGAGCCCCGTGTGACCACATCCGTGTTTCAGAGCAATTGCTTGTAGATACGTATTTTGCAAGTTCTTGGGCGACAAATGTGGGACGGAGGCGTTTCTGCTGCCGGTCTCGTTCGTCGAGTTTCCAAGGACACCGCTCTTCGATCAGAAATTTGGCAAAACTTTCTCGATAGCGTGAGAGCCGAGGTCGCCATCACGGGACCGTGACTGGGAGTACACAGGAATGGGTCTTATCAATAGCATTTGGGAAGCTCCTTCCAGCGCATAGCAACTGTCCAGCGCGGCAAGCCCGTCGAATTTCCTGCTGTAGTGGTACCTCTGTCTGTCCACTGCATTATCAGATCCTCCTCGGATGCTTGTCTCGCCCACGCCACCACTCGTTCAAAAAACTGACCCAGCCGTATCCCGTGGTCTTTCAAGTATGCCTGATGTACATGTAGGCCAACAGCAGCAGCAGCAGCAGCAGCAGCAGCAGCGACGAAAACGTGGCGCCATTCAACTGCAGGCGCGTGTTGCACATTTTCTACAAACACAATGATTCCAGGGAAGGCACGGCACGCTACACTACATGGGAGCAGATCCGCAAGTTGTACTGGTTCGGCTCTTGTCTGGGGGTGGTGGAGGCATAACGCGAGAGGGGAATTAAAAAAAAGAACCAAGCCTCCCTCGCGACAGGAAGTGACAATATAATTGACAGTATAGTAAGCCCGTTCTCGTCACGCGCGTGCTTGCTATCCCCTGTAAGCTAATAAGACTCAGGGTTGGTGTACGTCGTGCGCATTATCATCAACCAAAAGGAATTTTTCAAAGCGTTTTTTTCTTCGTCTTGCCGGAAGCAGAACCTTAGCGTGAAACTATGATATGTCTTCAGGTTTCAAGATGAAGAAGAGCACCATGATACAACGACGCTGCAGCAGAAAGCATGATACCAAAAGGAAATGGACGACTCGGTGTTTTCATCCCCAACCTTGAATCAACCACTAGATCCAACAAAAAAACAAAACCCAAACCAACCAAGTCAGTCCCCTCGATCACCTGAAGCCTCTCGGTCAAGGGGAGTACTTTGTCGGCCACCGCCATGTCCCGATCCGCTCTTACCGCGCCCTCCGTTATCGCCAGCAGCAGGTGTTCTCGAAACTCAACGTCGGTGAAATCGGCAGCAGCAGTTCCATCTTTCCCGGCGATACCACCACCCCTCCCGGTTCCGTTGGCGTCCTCCCCACCGTCGAAGCCGCCGCTACCGCCGCCGCCCAAGATGGTAACTCCGCCAAGAAGGTCGTCTATGTCTTGCTCGCTCCACGTACCCCCTCGCCTCTGCTCAGAAGAATCGGCTGTTGCCCCCCGCCCCTGCCTATCCCCCTCCTTATCTCCATTGCCGCTGTTTGTTTCGCCTTCGACGGCCTCTACTGGTAGCGGTGGCGGTACCTCTGGTACTTTCGGCGCGGCGGAGAGGGCCTTGAGCCCTCGTCGTAGTTCAGTCCTGCCGACCAGGCGCTTGTTGCCGGCCGCGCCCGCGCGTAGGCCCAGCTCACACATGTCGAACCATCTACACAAACATGAGAGCAAGAGCGGAACAGAGGAGGGGTTGGCAGGGGCTGGAGGAGGGGGTGGTAGGCGCAGGTCAAAAGCCAATAACAGTTACTTCTTAGTTTGTTGCAGTCCAGGTGATCTGGAACCCCAAGACGAGAAAGTGCTTGAACTCCTCTGTTGCTCGCTCTTCGAGGTAGTCATTGTAGCCAATTATTGCAAACGACACGGAATGTACGCGAAAAGGTAGCGGCACGGCCGTTTCGGTTCCTGCCGCATACTACGGAGTTGCGTCACGTATTCTTCGGCGATGCAGACATGGACTATTGCGACATTCTCCCCCCACAACAACAGATAGTCCACTCGGTTTGTTTTAGTCCCCCCCGGCCTTTTCATTTCTCCATATTGAGTGTCTCATCAAACCTCTTTCAACCCTAATCTGCAAAAGAGCGAGTCATCCGCGTCACGTCAGGTCCGCTGCTGTTTCACATTGAACCTAGTCACGGAATGTGGCACTAGACGGTACAGTAGGTGGCCCGATATATTGGCATGTAAGGGGCAAGAGGTTTCGATGCCACTATTCAGGGCAGTGCCACTGTTCGATATATCGGGTTCATGTACATGTTGAGATTATGACAAGAGGTTTCGATGCCACTATATTGGCACTTCCACCATTCAAGTTGCCACTATATCGGGCCACCTACTGTATGGAACCACATGGCACGTATGGCATGTCCCGGCGATACATGAGACCTCATCAGATCTTCTGATGGCTCTAGCATTTTTGTGACCACGAACCGAGTCTTTGCTGGATTTGGGATTAGCAACTGACACGAGTTTAATGTGAAGACAACAACAACAACAACTATTGTACCAAATCGCCCACAACCTGGTTACCTTTCCCACCCGTCGTCAGAGTCTAGCGCCATGCCCGCACCGAGCAGTTCGGCCGCGAATCTCTCCGCTGCTCTCCGGTAGACCTCTCGCGACGCCGCTTGTGCCTCTGCTCGCTTAGCGGCCCTGATTCCTGCATGAGAGTGAATGAGGAACGACAAACGACGGATCCATGTGGTAGGAATCGACTCCTTTTATCTTGGCGTTTTATTGTTTGGCAAACATTCAATACTTGCCCCTATCAACACTTACCGGCGCGGTATCCAGCTTTGCTACCCCGTTGCGCCTCTGCCTTGACCCATACCGTTTTAGAATACATCATACATGCATGGGTTAACGTCGATCGACCAACCACTTTGAACCAACCGAACGTGTTCAACGCGACCCAGCCATAGCAGGAGTGTTAACGCTATCCCGACATATCTATCACTGCGTAATATCGTCAGAAATGCTGTAGTGGTTTTCGCCTCTTTGGGTTGTCTCGCCCTAACTGGTGGCATGCCTGGGGGCAAGGTGGTCCAGAAAGCAACCGCCCGAAATGTTCGAGCAGCGCAAGCACTCCTGAGGCGATGAAATATTGGTGCGAAGGGTGCGCGTTGTTCTCTTAAACCACATCCCCAAGTCCGATCGAGTATCTCTCTCGTATACACCGCCGTACCGTCGAGCTATGGACGTCCTCGAAGAAACTGTGGCATCGTGCAGAAGTACCGTAGAAGCATAAGGGTTCTTACCTCGCTGAATGTCGGCGACGTTAATAAGAGAAAACGCCTGCTGGCTCTCCATCAGGAAGGCAATCATAAACTCCGCCTCCTGCAGCGAAAAAAGCGGCATCTCTTCCCTACTGCTGTCTTCTTGCTGCGGTTGCCCTTGCAAAGCAGCAGCGGTCTCTCGGTCGGCCTGTTTCCCGGTCCCCGGGGACGGTTCGTTCCCCTCCCCTGCTCCTTCTCCTTTTCCCTCAGAATCACCGTCCCCCGACTCCCCGTCGACGGCGTTCTCCTCCTCCACGGCGTCCGTCGCGTTGTTATTGCCACTGCGGCCGTCATGGATTTTGTCGTCGTCGTCGTCATCATCGTCGTTGTTGCTGTTGTTGTTGTTGCTTTCAGAGGCAAGACCGCTTCCACGTTGACCTTGAGGGCGCTCTTTCGTTCGGCGGTCGCTTTTCCCGAGAACGGTCTTAGCAGTGCGCTCTTGCTTCAAAGCGTGCATCAGTTCCTGGAGGTCGATCTAAGAGGAACAGTGCGGATCGGAGAAACAAATGGATATCCGATCGGCACATGCGGCTTCGCCCATTTTAGAAAGGAGCGTATGCTTGTCAAACGAGTTTGAGTATTATTACTCCCCCCCCCCCCATCTCGCTAGAGACTTTTTACCACCTCATGGCATTGCCTGTAGCGACTCACGTTCCCGTCTTGATTGGGGTCGAGGAAATCCACGGCAGAGTTGAGTTGCTCATCGGTCAAAACAAATCCCTTGCCCGTCGTCGCACTGTTTGGGAGAAAACCGAGCACGACGAACAACACAACTGAAATTCAGTAGGTTGGAGGCATGGATTGGCACTATATCGAAGTAAAATCGATTGTTATCTGGTCATGGTGGGAGATTCACAACCAAGCAAACGGTCTTGCCCGCGGGAGACACCTTGCATCATAGGCTGAACGATTGGCCACGGACTGGCAATCATGCACTCAAGCCTGCCGAAACACGCATTGCAGGCTACACAAGAGGATCGCGACACCGCCCTTACTCACTTCTTTGTTGCTTCCACGAGCTTGGCCTTCTGGCCCTTCGCCTCCCGCCGAGCCCGTTCGATCGCCCACCGACCGTACTTCATGACGATAGCCTGAAGCTCTGCCAGAGTCATCTGCTGGTTGCCACGTTGAGGCGAGGAATTCCGCGAGCAAGGACAGATTGGTGAAATACTTGCGTTTACTCGAAACAATGGTCCTCGTTTTACGTATTCACTCACGAGAACAAAATGATGCGAAGTAAGCGTATGCAACCCTGGACCTGTGTATTCTGCATCATTCAAAGTCCTTCTTCCGATGAATCTATGTGCGTACGCGACCGGGGACATGGTATAAAGAAAATTCGTCTCTCTTCCTACCTACTACCATCACGTTTGCCCTTGCCTTGATATGTGACAAACGCATGTGGGCTGATTCCATCCCAAGCACACGAAACCTTCTTTCCCGGTGAAAGACGCACGTGTCATAGATTAGGTGGTGAGCTATCCAGCGTTGTGCACCTCGAACTCTGCTACTTCGTTTGAAATTGCGGTGGCGAATGTTGTTGTTTCGGCTTGCTAGAAATCATCATGTTCGACGACCCAACACGAGTACCCCGAAAACACACGATTCTTCTGTGTTAGCTCTAGCCTATGGTGCCTAGAAAAATAATTCGAGCTGCACACACCCTAGCGTGGCCTCCTAGGTACAGGAAGGCCACCAGGTCTTGAATAGCCAGACCATCAAGCGGGTAGCCTCGATCGTCACGCGCACGAGCGAAAGCCTCTAACGCTGCGGACAGACGGGCAAGCGAAAACGTCTCGCCATCGCCCTCGCCACCCGCGACGGTGGAATTCCTCTTCCTATCTTCTTGGCCAGAACTATGTTGCTGCTGCTGTTGCTCCACCTGTGCACCGCCAAATTCTCCCCTTTGGGAGTTCACATTCGCTGACTCCACTGATTGCGAGGTCACTACTTCATCTGGTTTGGTAGCGCCCGCTTCCTCCTTCAACTGGGTGCCGTTGTTAGGAGTATCTTTTTCTTTGCTGTCTTCGGCATCGGCGTTTGTCAGTTGCTGGGCCAAGAACGGCCATGCTTCCTCCCTTTGCCGGTACAGGGATGCCAATGATTGTTCTGCAGCACCCGTCGGAATAGCGGTGCCCGCGCGCACCGCCATATGCTCTAGCCCTGACGCGTACTGCTCCTTGTTGACGCGGCTGAGAATGATTATGTCGGGCGCATACCGTTCTTGTTCACAAGGTTTGGCGTACAAGTACTGTACTCAAGTCTTCATGATATCTTTCATCAGGCACTGCTAAACAATAGTCACCCAACGTTTCTGGCCCAATAAATGAGCTAGCTGCAAATCGCGGCATGACACAGAACTATGGCTTGTCGCCAGGTTGTGAATGTGTTCCGAACTGCAAACACTTGTTATGGCAAGGGATTCTTAAGAACCGCAGGCAGTACAACATCCGGAGAGCACTGAAACAAGAGCCATTTAAAGGTTGATATCTGTGGTAGCTTGTAGCGTTCACTGGCCGACTTTTCATGATGCACAGCAGCACGAAATCCATTCAAGGACATGAATGCTTTGACAGTGCTCCCAGCACGTCTCTCCTCTTAGGCTCGGTGGACGCGTTTCTATGAGGACACTGCCTTGACTAAAGGGTTCGGGGCCACGGACACCTGCTGCTGTGCGCAATGGGGTAACAATGCTCAGGAGCGCCACGTGTGCATGACAGCATTTTTGTACCCGACTGTTTGTCAAATACCTCTGCAATGACTTATCTACGGAGGTAGTGTTGACTGCAAGCAGCATGGCAGTAGTGTCTTATTCTACGGCACTACCACACCATACCTTTCATCAACTCCGAGGGCGGAAAACACTCCTTCAACTGTCCTCCCGTCATGCCGTAGCATTTCATGCAGCCTGGCCATCAAAGCCACGGCGTGCCCCTTGCTCATACCGGACTGCTGTCTCTGGCGCTTGCAGTCGCCGCTGAAGCCACTCTTGTTGTCAGCTCGGAGACCATAGCCCATCGTCAATGTGTACAAGCGCCGCTCGCGTGACGGTAAATCCCTGAACTTGGTAACCGTGAGGCTTTCATCCCGGTCGGCCGTCGCGAACCCAAGCCCGTGCCTGGTGTAGCTCCGCACGAGAGTGTTTCGACGACCGTAGGGGTGCTTCTGTCGTGTGAGCTCTGTCGCCGAAGTGCAAGAAGTAGAATCTGTTAATAAAGGAGAATCTCCTTCTTCTACTCTTCGCGCCTCGCCAGTCGAAGGTCTCGTGCGCGGTGGTGGTTGAGTATCACACATCACACTGGCTTTGTTTGATCGAACCAGCCGGACCGTCGGCGATCAAGGGCCTGCGGCGCGCCTGGCTACAATTTTCTTGCACCTTCTCGTGACGTGCCCGCCCCAAATACACATGATCACCTTGATCCACAAGAGAGGAATAGGGAGACAGAAGATTGCTCAAAGCAGCAGTAGCAAAGGTGAACACACAACGAGCACGCGACACATATTAGTCTACTTAGGCGACGAAGCGACAACACGACAACACGCAGTGCATATTTCACCAACCGTCACTTATCTTCCCGCTAGAACCCGAACACACCCGAGGTTCGCTCTCGATCTCGTGATCTCGTGTACAGCAGTACATAGGTTAGGCTGGGCAGACGCAGCAGCAGGCAAGCAGTCCGCCTCGTTCTGGCGAGAAGGGGATAAGGGATGTCGGGCGAGGTAATCACCATCATTGATGATGAACCTCCTTCTTGTGACCTACGCGTGTGCACCGAGTGTACGTTCAAAAACGATGTCGGTGCTTTCGCCTGTCGGATGTGCGACAATCCACTCCAACAGCAGCAGCAGCAGCAACTGCAACCGGCGGACAGGTTCACCTGTTGTGCTTGTACGTTCCGCAACGAGAGAGGGGCAACGGCATGTTGTGTCTGCGCGACGCCGTTGGTGAACGACGTGGAGATGGGTGGCGGTGAAGCACAAGGTGAAGTTCGGCACTGCTGTGCAACTTTTCTGAGGGAGCAATTGGCATCTGCTACATGTACAGTAGACTTGGTACCGTACATACATCCGCATAGACCAGAACACAGGGACTATGGGACACCTTGTTGGAGTTAATCCACTCGCTCACGACCACCACACAGGTAGCGCACGACTGAAGTTGCAGAACTTAGGCCGTCCCTTCTCTCTGCTGCGAATTCGTTGTTTTGATATCAATAGGGGCGCAGGATTATGACATTACTGCTGTACGTGTATCAAGACTTGAGTGCTCTGCTGTCGCCGTTGTTGATTATTTCCTGTCGTCTATTGGATTTGGATTAGGCTTCCTGCCCCCGTCTGGTGGCCCTGCCCAAACTTCCGTTATTCCGTTTCGCCACCAACCCGGGCGCATCATCACCTCATCCCCGAAACTTATCACGATGATTGCGGGTAGAGCCGGCTAGTGGTTGGTGCTCTCCTTGGCCCTTTCCCGCTGTCCCGCGGGACCGTACGGGCGGAAAGTGGACCTAAGCGTGGTCACCAAACGGTCTGGGTGCAAACATTCATCATCGTCCAACAGGTGGTAAATCGCCGAGTGTAAGTAGCAGGGAGGAGATGACGCGGATGTCACGCTTGTCTCTTTACCTCCATTCGCGGCTTTTCCCACGCCGCAATGCTACCGCCCAACCTCACCCCCCCTCCTCTTCTCTCATTCTTTCACAACCATTGGAGGTTATACGGCCCTCGGTAGGACTGGCCAAACTATTTGATGCCCGTTTCAGCAAGAAGCTACCAAATGCGCCCAGCAGCGTAGCGCCAAACAGTGAAGCTAGCCGGTCAACAAACGCATCCCGCTCCACTCACGGCCATCGCACGCATGTGCTCCGAATGGAATTCCACTTGTCTTGCCGTCAAGAGCTTGAAGGCGTTTGCAAGACCACCGGGGGGAGCATCGGCGGCAGCTCCTTGGTGCCCACCCGGGCCGAACTGAAAGCCCGAACAGTGGCAGCGGGAGGTGATCGCCTATCCACAACCCCCGGTCTCATACCCCGGATACACGAACGCCTTCTAGGCGAGCACAACGCCCGTGGCAGCGGCAGGGGTGGGGGTGTGCGGGGCAACACGACAACCGGCGGAGGGTCTCTGGGGGTCCGCGAGAGACAGACGTTCATGCGAGGGTGGGGGCGAGGCGGCTTCGACATGAGCGTCACGAGTGACTTTGCAGGGGGTGGGGCTAGGGCGGCGACGGCGGCGGAATGGAGGCTGTGCGACCAACGGACGAAGCACTGTACCCAGCGGGGATCGCATGGCTCGGGATTCTCGTGCGGGTATCGGAATATCCAGATGCTTTGCTCTGCGCTCATGGAGTGGCCCGAGTACAAGAGGTCAGGCACGGTGGTGTCGCAGAGCCATCGGTTTGGTCGAAAAATTGTGTTGCATCCGAAATTCGCCGTGAGGCCTTGCCTGTAGCTTCTTGCGGAATTTAATGATAAATCTGGGTTGCAAGGATGGATTATTTTCGTGTTGATTTCAGGCCACTGGTGTCATCTTCTTGACGATAAATGTGGCATCACGTGTACGGGAGACTTTGTCACGTGTGTTGTGTATTCTGGACGGGAGGCGTGTGTGCCTGAGCAACCTGGGGTGGAAATTGCATCGAAGAAACCGAAAGCACGTTTCGGTAGGAGATACCATACGGGGTCTGAATCTAACAAACCTTTTTTGTGCATAAATCCTCTCTAACTGGTGTGGTAACCACGTCGCACGGTTCGAGAAGGATGGACTTGTGCTAGAGACGCGTGTTCTTGTGTCTCGCGTAAACGTTGACGTTGTGCGTTCGTACATGGGCGCGTATCAACTAATTCTTGGCCAGCATTTCATTATTATTACTTCATCTCGGTTCGATTGTACCGTTGACTTTAATTGGCTATAACTCCCGAATCACCGTTTGATTAATTCCCCCGCTGTTACATCTATCGTCCTTTATTCGCACCTACACCATCGTGCTTTCACACACTGGCCTCCAATCCCCGTTCTCCCCCTAGGGTCCTGTTCGGAGGTAGCGGGTGCATTCCCGGCGTCGCGCTGCTGCAGTGTTGGATAGAGCGGGCTTGGGCGGACGGGTACGACCCAGATGGGTGTGCGCAGCTCGGGGGGCTGGGGGCGCTGATGGGCAGTGAGACCTGGATCGGTGCGACGGAGTGTGCCACCCTTCTCAGGCAAGCTTGTACTGGTACCACTTTCTTTGTCCTTGGGTTCCGTGCTGCTCTTAGTGTCACTGTGACCCCCCCCCCCCGCCCATTTGTGTGAATTTTTCCTTCCGCAAACCTCGCATGTGCAAGTTGCGCCAGAGTTCCACCTACTAGGGTCTCTGCAAATTGTTTTTCTACGCATACGTCAGGCTCGATGGCCCTTGTGCACGTTTTCACATTGTTTTTCTGCGCATACGTCAGGCTCGATGGCCCTTGTGCATGTTATATTGTTACGGCAGAGAGAGAGAGAGAGAGAGAGAGAGGCAGACAGACAGAGAGAGAGACAGACAGGCAGACAGAGCGGACACGGTAGGTCAACGCTCATAACTACTCTGGGTCGTCTCCCTAGCGCTCCCATCTAGACCCCCTTCCCAAGGACTGCGTTATGGTGCTTCCTGTGCTTCCTGTTTCGCGCCCCGGAGCCATTCTCTATGCAGTTGTCTAATTGTGCCCTGGTCACGACCCCCCTTCTCTCCCCGAGCACCTACAGTATCGTCATTTCACCGAGTCAGCCTCTTTTTGAAAGCGCCCCAAGCGCCGCACGCTTGCACTCCTAAGCACATCACATATTTCCTGCGTAGAGTCACGGGTACTTGTCTACAGTAAGACGCGCCCGCCCGCGTTGCATTGTGTCTTTTCGGCCTGATCATCTTTGCACATATTGCTCGTTTCGCAACATTGCCTGACACTCTCCCCTATCACAAGGAAAACAACCACTTGTTTTGCTGTGGTTATGTGTTTTGTCGGCCATCTTCACGCCTTGCCTCGTTCTCTTAGCATAACTGGTAGACTTACGGCATGCCATCATTCTGTACTTTCCCCCTCGTGTGTCTCGTTGTTTTTGTTTCATGTGTCACGAAACACAGGTCGTTCGGGGTGAAGGCAGAAGTCATCGACTTCGAATCGAGCGCCCCGTTGGCTCCAGCCTTCGCTGGGGAGGCGTCGTCTGCGCAAGAAGAACCAGAAGGAGGAAGCAAGCGCAAGACGCCCAGCTCTGCCCCCCGATCACCTCTGTCCCTCCACCCTAATGGCTCCACATCCTCTCGTGCGTGGCCGTCAGGGCCATCATCGCTCGACGCATATCCCTCCTCCAACGGGGGGAGGGGCGTCCAGGCCTCCGTTGCTCAAGGGCCGGTACAACAGAGTATCCGGCCTTTCTTGCCCTCTTCCTCGTCGCCCTCTTCTACTCCCAGAGACCGCAGCGCGGTGACAAGCTGGACCCAACCCGGAGGCGCGATCATCGGCATCGGTGGTGGTTTGGGGGGACAACATGAGCGGAGGTGGCCGGGAGCCGGACAACGGCTTGGGAACGGTGGCAGAGGCAGAGGTAGAGGCGTGGCAGGGAGGGACGGTTTCCTGTCTGATGGCGGCGGGCGGGGCGGGCGAGGGTGGCGGGGCGGGAGGGGGGGCCGCGGGTGGGGAGGCCGCGGGGGGAGAGGTGGAGCACACAGGAAGAACGGCTACATCGGGAAGGACGCGGGGGACAGGATGGGGAAGGCCCTGGCTGCATGGGCCTGGGAGTACTTTTGCACGCCGTGGGGCACTGCGGAGGGGAGTTCTTCCTCGATCGGCGACGGTGACAAAGGTGCCGAGCTGCTGCTGCCGCCGTCACGACCACCGTCACAGCTGCGAGAACCCGGGGGTAGCGGTGGCGGCAATGCCTGTAGCGGTAGAGGAAGCGGCAGTAGTAGCAGGAGTCGTGATGCTGGAGGGGCAGGGTCGGGTGGTACTGCTACTGACCGCCGAGCGGAGGCATGGACACGCCCACCTCCTCCGCTATACTTTCAGGTGGGAGAACGTGTAGTTGCAGGCGTCTTTTCCTTCCCTTCCAGATGCCTTGGTGTTATTGGATGGGCAAAAAGCAGCTTCGGATAAAGCTACGAACTCGTTGTAGGCTGACATTGACGTTGAAGTTGACATGGACGTTGCTCTTTTACATTTTCCCGTGGAGCTCATCATATAGCGTACCTTGCTTACCGATTTGTCGTATCGCCGTAAACGTCCACATGAATCAAGAAACAGCGTACTTTGATCCCCCCTCCTCCCACACCCACAAACTGTTTCGTATGCACTGCTGGCTTGTCAACTGTGTTTTTTTTCAGCACGATGGGCATTCACGATCCATCGTGGGCGTGCTGCAGCCTGGGGGGGCGGGGCAGCGAGGAGGAAGAAGTGGGGGTGGACGAGGCAGGGGCGGGGGCTCCGGCGATGGAAGTATTCGCGGCGGGAGGGGGAGCGCGGGGTCCGGGAGGGGGCACGGCGGGGCCGGTAGTCGGCAGGCAGCGTGCCTGTTCGTTTTCGATCCCTCGCACGCGGGAGGGCCGATCCGCGATGCGCTTGATGACACGCAGAACGGGCGGTGGGGAAGGTAGGCGGAGCGGCAGGATTGAATCATCGACCCTGCTGCAACACCAGCGGCCGCTCTCTCTCTGTCTCTCTGTCTCTCTGTCTCTCCTCTCTCCTCTCTCTCTTTGCGTCAAGATCTCTCTCTCATTTATTTGCTTGTCGTCTCGTCTTGACCTTTTTTTTCTTTGTGCTTCGTTCCTTTTCGTCACCTGCGTGTGTCGCCCTCGCCCTCTCTGTCCCCGTTCTTGTTTGTTGCAAACGCGTGTTTCCGCCCCTTGTGATGGTGCATGAAACCATGGCAGGTTTTTGAAGCGGGGAGGGCACGCGTTGCACAGGCGACAGTTTCAGATGGTCGCCGTTCGGCCAGGTTTGGTGGATGCGGGACAGGCGGATGCATGGAAGAGAATCGTTTCCGAGAAAATTGTGGTAGATTGATGAGTCAAGTCTCTCGCCTGTGTCAATCTTCTGTGGTTGTACAGTACGTGGATGGTGGTTGTTGGCACGTGTATTTCGTGCTTGGTAGACATGACATTTTAGGAAAGAAACGGCGTTTTGATTGGTTGAGTGGGGTTGGTTATCGGAACCGTTTGTCGTTTTTTACGAAGAGAAAGAGACGCGAAAGTTGTCCTACGGCCTACCAGTGTTTTTTCATGTATTGTAGCAGGCCATGTTTTTGTGTGTGTGTTGTTTCTTGTTGAATGTTGTGTTTACCTTTGACAAATCTTACTTGGAGATGGCAGGATTATTTGATGAAGAGACCAATTGACGATGGCGCAGGGTTACTTGGTGAAGTGAAGACTCGAAGTGTTGGCTGCGCGTTCACTATCGATTCAATTCCCATGCCTGTCTGTGCTTACGGGTTGGAGGTTGCGGCGGAGATAGACTGGGACCGGGAGAGAGACGGAGAGACGAAATGGAGAGAAGGATACATACATGAAAGAGAGCTTCACGAGAGAGACAACCGATGCACCTACGATCCGCTGTACCCTGTCGTACAACAAGTTTCATTCTGAAGAACCAGTCGTAGGATACAGCATGGAGAGAGACAAGCGACCGAGAAAGACAAGGGACCGTCGTCTTCAAAATAAACTGTCAACCCGCGAACCCTAACACAAGCAGACGATACAGACTCTTTCAATAGTGGAGATATTTTCTTGGGTTCTCTCAGTTCGTTCGAAGAGGTGTCGTTCCTCTGACGAATTGCTCGCGCTCTCGCTCATTGTGCCGATGCCATAGCTCGGTGCACTCCTTGTGATCGATCACGACTTGAGCGCTACAGAATACACATTTAATCTTAATACCGTAATAGTCTGAGAGTTGGTAACGGCCGGAGAGATGGCACCGGGGTGCGATTATAAACCCTAGAAAAACCATATATTTCGATTTACGCACCGGGGTCGGTGAGATGGTATTTTGCGTGCCATTTTTTATGCAAGAAGAGTTCGGCACTCTC